TCTTCTTCTTCTTCTTCTTCTTCTTCTTCTTCTTCTTCTTCTTCTTCAGAACCAAAATGTCAGGTACTCTGTTTTCTTTGCCATGTCACATTACAGATTAATCAATGTTAATTCTTGTTGATATTATTGAAAGAGGTTCAAAACTCTGAGAGATAGATATGAATGAGAAGTGCCTCATGTCTGACATTTTCCTCCCAGGAAGCAGCATGTCCGAAGTAGCTCTTCCTGACACTTCCTTGCTCTCTGCTGATGAGATTTTTGGACTTGAGGCTTTGGTGAGCAGACCTACAGGCCTACTCTATCTCAGGGTAAGAGAGATCAGCCCTATACCCCTCTGTAGACATGCTTTTCATTGCCTTTCTTTTGTGAGGTGACCCACTTTCTTTTTCTATATTTGGGATGAAAAATAATGATTAATTTCAATGATCACTTTAAAATTATTTAATAGACAAAGAACTACAGGCAACCAAAGCAAGAGTGGGGAAAATAGTTCTCCTCAAGGATGAGGCCCCTAAAACTAGTTATCCAATATTAAAGGGTCAGTCCTAAAGTCATATACTTACAAGTAACACTACATGGATTGAGCAGGTTGTATTTATATATTTAAGCATCTATAACTATAGCACCAAAAGAAAAAGAGGCTCTTATTTCAAAAGGAAGCCAAAGGAGGGTGTATAGAGGAGGGGTTAGGGAAAATAATGTAAATATGTTTTAATTAAAAATGAAATAATTTTTTTTAACCTCAGTCCACAAAGATTTCCTTCTGGAACTATTTTCTTCTAGAAGTGGTTTTTCTAGGAGTGTTATAGTTTTAGTTCTTAAATTGAGGTCTACAGTCTATTTCAAGGCAGTTTTTATGTATGATGTGAAGAATAAATGAGGTTAATTTATTTTATACACATCTGCGTTTGCTCCAGTACAGTTTAGACACAATCTTTTCTCTCTTTGGATTACTTTGGGCTGAGAAAGGAATTGGCTTATTATAGGAATAAAGAGGAAGTCAGTGTGGCCTGAATACAGGAGGGGAGGAAAGGAGTCCTGGGTGCTGATGCTGGAGAAGCATCTAAGATCCAAATCGTAACGCATTAGGAACCTTGAAAAGATGATTGCACTGTATTCTAATAATTTAATTGCTTCAAATATTTTAAGCAGAACATGTATGATCCAGTTTATCTTTTCTAGGTGTAAAGATTTCTTTTTTCTATTTTTGGTTTTTCAAGACAGGGTTTCTCTGCATGGCCCTGGCTGTTCTGGAACTTGCTCTGTAGACTAGGCTGGCCTTGAACTCAGAGAGATCCACCTGCCTCTGCTTCCTGAGTGCTTAGGTTAATGGTGTGTGCCACCACCTCTGTCCAGCCTAAAGATGTGTTTAACGAATCTGATAAACTCACTCTGATACTTACCATACAATTATTTTTAAAAGTATTATTATTGTGTGTTTGCACATGCATGATATCTATGTGGACACAAGTGTCATGATGTGCATGTAGAGGTCAGAAGGCAATGTTATAGAGTCATTTCTTTCCTTCTGCTTTTATGTAGGCTTCAGGGATTGAATTCAGGTCACCAGACTTTCTCGGTAAGTGCCTTTACCTGCCGAGCCACTTAACTAGCCCCAGCTATTACCACAATGCATAGCTTTTGGGTATCAAAAGTGGGCTTTACCCCTTTAATGGAATCATTAAAAAGCAGTCAGATCCATAAACTGTCCTGATGACATGATATAAAGGCTACAGAACATCTCATTCTTTGTTCCTTCTCTATGTCAGATGAACATAAATATTTTTGGGACGAACATTGCCCACACTTTACTACACAGCATTCTTCAAGATACTCTAGAACAGTGTTTCTCAACCCGTGGGTCATGACCCCTCTCAATCCATGAATGACCCTTTCACAAGTGTTACATACCAGATATTTATACTATAATTCATATCAGTAGCAAATCAGAGTTATAAAGTAGCCATGAAAATAATTTTGTGGTTGGGGATCACCATAACATGTGGAACTCTGTTAAGGGATCACAGCATTAGGAAGGTTAAGAATCACTTCTCTAGAAGGTCATTCTTTTCAAGAAGTAAAAGGCACTGTGGTTTGGAAATAACCTTGGTATGCTTGATTTGCTTTGCAGCATGGCTCAAGATTCCTCTCCCTAACCCTTCAGCTCCACATAGTGTTTTGCTTTTGTGAAGATGAGTGTCATCAGGCCTTGGCTCTTTGAGTTGCTTTCCTAACATAAATGGCACGTGTGGGAAAGCTAGTACTTACACTTAGGGACAAAATTCGAGAGATAGCGTCGCATCGGGGGTGCTCACAACCTTGAGGGAGGATGAGCTAAGCTGTTACTTGGAGTTATTTTTCTTCTGGAATGTGGACTATGTTTAAGGTCACTGGAGACTTCTTGCAGTGAGTGCCATTGCATCTGTTTAAGATTTAAAACAGTAAAATGAGTTGCGGTTGAAATTTCAGGCAGAATTAAAAAGGCATATGTGAAAAGCAGAACTTGGGGGAGGTGTTAGACACATTTTCAGGTTGGACTTAGCCCAAATAAAATATAAAAACATACTACCTATCAGAAGAGATGTTAGTTCTTGAATTTCACCCAAATATGTATTTGGGTGATAATTAAAGCCTTAATAATTGAAGAAAACAGATCCATATTCTGTATTAACTATTTCAGCGATCCACATCATGTGTTAATCAGTAAGGTTGTAGAAGAATAAATTGAAGGATGCCTGAGACTGAGTAGCCATAGATATTTACACATTGAGATTTATATCACAAGAAACAGTGGCCATTTAACAATGTAGGAAGACATTTCCTAGCAAGGTAAATGAAAGGCATCAAAATAGAAGGAAGATTGGCTAACTCGAGGACCAAGGAGGAGGTCAGCAAGAGCGGAGCGGCAGGACTTGTGGCAGGGAATGAGGTGCAGATAATGCAATAGTTCCTATAGCAGGATGGGGAATATAGCATCCCTCTGAGCAGTCATTATTTTGGGACACAACACTATGATGGCTGGTGAACTGTAGATTAGAGGATGGCAAGAGAAGGGGGCGGGGATTAAGAAACAGACTGTAGGCAGGCAGGGGCAGTTGACCAGGACTGCGGTTTGGTGATAGGGATGGGGAAGAATGGGTACACTCAGGAGCAGCTGAGAGGAAAGGGGCATGATGGAAGAAGCCAAGTCAACCAGCAGATGTGATTGCTTCTAGGTCCACGTGGAGAAGCATCATTTCCACGGGAGCTGTTGTTTGCACTCAGGGTTCAAGGACCTTAACGTCACAAAGCCACTAACTACTGTGTGTCTTTCTAAGCCAGAGGACCTGGCTGACCATTGACTTCTGATCTCTTGAGATCTTTCCAGAATCAGGGTGCTGCAGTTTTTCACACTTTCATTTGGATTCTTGGGTACCAGAGACAATGGGAAGGAGGAGTTCTGTGGATGGCTAAGTTTGCTCTGACTTAAAAGTTGAGGCAGGGCACACACCATTCTTGGATGGCTTCACAGTTCTAAGCGAAGGGACCTGGAGTCTTAGTGTTTATTGTGGCAAGGGCAAGGAACTGTGCGCACAGGAGCTATCCTTCCACACTTCCAGTGGCTATGAGATATATTCTTTCAATTTCAGTTTTGCAAGAGAAAAGTAGAAGTTCAGAGAGTTTCTTTAAGAACATATTACTTTAGTTTTAGTCATGTGTATATGTGTAGGTACCTGCGGGGGTGGCGCTGGGAACTGAACTCAGGCCTTTCAAAGCCATTGAGCCATCTATCAGGCCCCTCTGT